CCCGTCGACAGGGGGTCGCCAGTCTCTGGCACTGTTATTTTGGGGGTCGCGGGAAAAGTTTGGGAACCCCTGCATTAACAAACATATACATTGTTTTGACTAATAAGAATGAGGTCATTAGCCATAACAAAATGGATGGAAAATACTTTCGCAAGATGGTGTTTCTTGTTCTTTGTTTCACTGTGGTTTTAGAAACAAGAACATTTCAGGTATTATTAAAAAAGGAACACTTTGTGACAACATCAGGAAGCTATGTTATTTGTGTTGTTGCTTAGTGGATAAGCATGCTTATAACAATTGCAGTTGTTGGACAGACAAAAAAGCAAAAAGGTAGCATGAACATGGATTTGCTTTTACATGTTTGACATCAGTTTCGGTAACCTAGAGCAACACCCACTGCAGGACCTACCTTGAATTAACAAAAAGAGAATACATGTCTAAAGAACAGTTTCCAGTCAACTGAACAGCTCTCTAAAAACAAGGTCCCACTCCCTGTTGCAATACATCAAAAAACTTGCCTCTGCTAAATGTTCTCCTAAATTAGAAATAACTGAAGAAACCAACTTTCCATATACGTATATTATGATGTGCATAGATGTGTTAGCCTAGATGTGTTAGACACAAAATAAATTTAAGAAAAAATGTACATGTACTTATGTAAAAAACGGCAGTGCTGAAGTGAGGAAGAGCACAGCATCAATATACTCACTGTTTGCCTGCTTGTGTTTCTGCAGCTCGAACCCATCTACCAAAAAGCATTTACCTCTTTCCGCTCATTGAAGGTGGTTTTGTTCAGGTAATGTGTTAATGTTATACTGTAATTTAAGGATTTTCTACTGTATATTCATGAAAATCATTATCAGTTATTATTGGAATAATTTAAATGTATTTAAAATTATGCAAGAGTATCATTTTTTTTAACATTTTGTCTCTAATTCCCTTTTCAGCAATGGATCTATCTACAACACTATGGATCTTCAATTTGAATCCTCATCGGTTCCCAATGGCAATCAGATTTCAGATGTGTTGGTTGGTGCAGCTTCAAGCATCACAGCCTTCAACATCGAAAGTGCCTCAATTTCTGTGAACGGCATACGTAAGTTATCTCAAATTATTTCTCATAAAAAAACACAACTTAAAGACATGTTTTTAAAGTAATGTCTTCTTTCCTTTGGTCATCATTTACAGAAGTTTCCCATGGAGTAGAACACCGGATAAGTGTCCTCACTGCAACCCTCCTTGTGCTGCTGTCATGGCTCCTGTCAAGCTTACATTAAGGCAGGGCTTATATCCCTGTGAAATATCATTATTAAAATATTTGTATCTCTAATGTAAAACATTATAACTTTTTCATCATAAAATAATGAAACATGTGAGGGATTTTAACTGCTGTATGTCTTGGCAGGAACTATCATATATTCATTTAAACTCAATGCTACCTAATTAATGAACAGGTAGGAACAACTTTTTAACTGTAACGGCACACAGACAGAGGAGTACCATTCATGATCTGTCAAAATTAGGTTATTATTGTATTTAACGCCGTACAATTTAGACAAATACCATTTGAACCCTGTTATGTCTTAGAGCCAATACATAGTCATTTCAGTATGTGCTCAAATTAGTACCCTAAAATAGAATTATATTTACATAAAGTATATATTTTTATTTCGAACAAATTGCATCTATTTGGCAAAAAATGTCCAAAACTATTGTTGGCTTGTGAATTCTTAGAAACAAGCCAGAATTGTTATTATAGAATACATCAACATTATGAAGGAATTGCATCAAACATGATGTCTTTAACAACATTTTAACAGCCGTTTTCTGTAACATTAACTCAGATTTATGTTAAAGGTTGGATACATCCTTACTACTGTCAGAAAAAAAGACTTGTATAACTTTCCATCACTGTTATTATCTATATGTGCTTTTATTATCATATACAGTATATGTGTTATGAGAGCTTAACATCGTTTTTTTCCCTAAACTTTCATTAAATTGTTATTATTTAAACAAAAATTGTATTGTACTTAGCTCAAGTGGGTGAAGGGTGATGAATCAGATATTTTAATATAAGTTATGTGGTTAAAGACATTAAAGATATCAACAAATTATCAAACTATGTCTCATGTTTTTTTCAATTTGATGTAACACTAGCCAAAGTATAGTAACCATTCTCATATGTACTCAATCAATTAACTGATACAACTGTTGTGATAATCAGGTGATCATTTGTCTTTATTTAAGCAACAGTTTTACTGACACTTTATAGATTTAGATATAATAAATTAAATAAAAGTCAGATTAATAAAAAACCCATGATAAACATATTTTAACAAAATTATGAGTGTGTAACCCACTCATTAACACATCATGGGTATTTTGCAAAAGCCAGCACACTCCAGCAGAGGGCAGTGTTGGCGCTCCAGAGGGCAATGAGTTAATGAAGCTGTTTCAGCTGGATCGCAGAGCTGCAACATAGTTTTGTAACAAAAAAAAAGTTGTGTAACTAAAAGCAGGTATAGCAAGTTACCAATCAATTAAAGGCGGGGTATGTAATTTTGGAGAAACCAGCTCGAGTACGCTAGAATTTGAAAGTAAACAACCGGAAAAAATCTGCCTCTTCCTTCAGACTTCCTTACAGAGCCCCTCCCCCAACACACACGAACGCGCACATGACCAATGAGGGCACGAGATAAGTTTGTGCACAGATGGAAGGCTGACAGGCAGGTGGGCATCCAGATATTTTAGCCGGGCCGGCTAAAATGATTGTTCATGCTTTTTACAGTACTACGGCTTCCACGGATGCATTTTTTAAATGTATTTATTGTCAAAGCATTTAATATATTCATTGCTATCGTGATGTTAAGAGCATTCCATAGAATATATCAAAAAGTGTTTCTGAAATAAATTACATACCCCACCTTTAACTGATACACAATCAAACATAAATCTGAAAAAAGTGACCCAACCACTTATTCTAAGAAAGTGACGCCAACGGTGGTGGTGCATTTGATTGAGTTAGAGTTGAAGTCGCAAAGTCACCTGGCTCTCTAGGGAAATCTGACAAATGGAAATGTATTGTGGGAATTCCCAAAGCAAAAATTGACATCAAGAGCCATAATAAAACTGTTCGGATGTGTTTATTGCTGCAGAAAAGGAGGCTTTGAAATGTTGAACTTTTATGGAGCTTGAGCCTTTTAGAGTGGATGGTAAGGCTTTTACACCATACGGCAAGAACATTTTGTTCTGGTTTTTACAGGAAAGTAATGGTCTAAAAGTCAGAAGATTTAACAACCCAAAGTTGTAATTTAATGTTTTTTTTCCAAGTCATGTATACTTTTCGGTGTTCCTATGAGTATTTTCACATGATGATCAAATTGCTGTTTCAAATACTTATTTCTTGATGGTCAAGATAATTGTCTTATAACGTTGTGTAAGCCCATTGTATAAAATTGCAGGCACAACATACAAAGGTTAAGTTATAACAAATTGACTTATCCTATTAGGATCAGTTGTAAGCGATTATTGAGAATACATTTTGGATTGCTAGATAAAAATCTCTGAAGCCATTGTTTATAAAAAGACAATGCTAATGTTTCATTCAAACAAGATGATTGAACTTCAAATACTGACAAAAAAAAAAGAGAAAGGCACTGACTCAGGGGTAAAGTGGATTTAAGGAGGCTTCTTGACTTACAACAGGGGAAAGAGGACGAGTGGTGAGAAAAAGATGGATGGTTGAGGCAGAGGGGTGATGGTAGATGGCAGACTAGGGAGGATGGGTGGGCAAGAATTAAAAAGGCATTAGTCAGATGGCATACATCATATTTTCATTTCATTTTAATATTTTTCAACAAACAAAACACTATGCTTTAAGCAAAAAAAATGCACAATGATTTCGCCAATATGCAAATGAGGATATGATGGTAATGATGGAAGAGTTTTAAATTAGGGATTGCTACTTTCATTGTAAAATGGTTGGCAACACTGCACAGGACACATCACATTTTTCTTTATCAATGGCCTTGTGCCATAAATTGAGCCTTCATTTTCCCAAGAGATTGTACCTAGTGCCAGAAGTCTTTGCTTACAGGTTTTCAGCTAACCAATCTTAACGTATATGATGTCAATATTCTAGAAGATGAAGCAAAATACGTTGCCCTTGTCCCTTTTAATCATTCAATACATCATTTCATTTGTATCGGTTCAATTGGAAATCCACTTCATATGTAAACCAATATATCTGAGTCAATAGGCTTTACCTGGAATTCAATATATCTATGCAACAAAGTGCTTTTCACCGTTTAAGTTTTATTATGCAGGCCAAAAAGTGAGTATAAAATGCATTAATCAGCTTCGATGGGTGTGTTTTGGTGTAATTGTTGTGGGAAGGTACATATATGCACGGAATAATGAACATTACAATACTTATACATTTGTACAAGTGTGCCGACATTAGTGCATGCGACAGTATTCATGCTCTAGTGACACCAAATGACTCCGAGGCGTTTAAAGATCCTCGTTCGTTTCGGCCGAATGTGTACCCAGCAGATAGGGTGAGATATCAACCTTGCCATTGTTAATGTGAGATGACAGGGCATGACTGCTGCAGCACAGGGACTTGTCTGAAGGGGGGAGGGAAGAGGAGCAGCTCCTGTGGGGCCTCTAATGGATGGTCACACCTTTATGACCATGCAAGAGTAGATATTAAATACTTGGGGCGTGAGCGGGGGTGTCTGTGTGTGGTTCAAGTGTGTGTGTGTGTTTTTGTGTGTTAGCATTTAAAACTGTGGTTAAGGATTCTGAACCAAGGTAATTACCCCCCAGGAGTTCAGTGAGGTCGATCATTGGCTGCCTCATAATTAGAGTGGAACATCCCATTAAACTGTGTACGCCTTGTGGATCAAGGTGTGTTTTTATGCTTCACCATAAAGGGCTTAGATATTGTCATGGCTTTTAAATTGTATTTAAAATGTACTTCACGTAAAGTAAAAACCTACGTAGAGTCACCACTTGACCCTGCAGTTCCGTTTAACACATCATGTTAGCTTTCAGCTCTTATTTTTACAACGCTACTGTTTTGGTCTTCTCCAACTGCTTTATGCAAGTGAGATATTATGTGAGAATTATATTTCTAAACTTCTGAGAGAGAGCTACAAAGCAAGGGAAATATTTCAGAGTGCATCTTCACATCGTGACCTCATAGCAAACTAAATTCAGTAAATATTTCATTGGGTTGCTGGTGGCATATTCCTGTTTGTGTTAATCGCAGATGAAAAGTTTGGATGAATAAAGCATATCTTGCAACATCTGAGCATATAGAGACAGCTCGGGGGGGGGGGCAATCCTTGGACTGTGGGAGTTCAGCTTGTTAGCATGCTGCTGAGCGGCTGCGGAACGTACTTTGTTCGTCATGAAATGTTCACGGATAATTGGATGTTATGAAGATTAATGTGCGTTAGTTTTACAGAGCCGCAGGAGAACTGCAAAATACTTTGACTGTGAACAGCTGTCTCTGGCCTCTTTAGTGGTGCAAGTTGTGATTTTATTAGATGATACCATGATGGCTGATAAACTGATTGATCAGCTTATTGACTGATTCCTTTCATTCATTCACTTATATCTTTATGATTGTACAATGTTCTTACATGTGCCTGGGAGGATCTGCAGTTTAACTTCAACATAATTTGCTCAAAATGATTGCAATTACAGAATTTATCGGAGCAATTCTTATTTTTTTTTCACTTTCATCACTTGTAATTAAAACAATTGGAGTACCTTTAGGTAGTTACCTACCACATACCTATAGTTATCTTACGACGTACATTTTTTTCCATCGCAAAATGAAGAAAATAAGCTCCTAGGATGATGCCTTTGTTTGGCCCATTGTGTATGACAAATAACACTGGTCACAAGAAAAAAAATGTCCTTCTCCAGGCATGTTCACATTTTATATTTTCATAGCAGGTATTAATTCTCTGAGTGAGCATGGCTATGTGGACAAATGCAGTTTATACCTTTATTTAATTGCAACCGAAAATTGGCATTCATGTCGGGCCTGTCTATTAGGTTAAAACGGATTACATTCAGACTTGCTGCAGGCTCCAATTTGCAATACACACACAAAAAGACACACACAGACACTTCCGCTGTGGTATAAAATATTTAAATGCAAGCTCCAGTTTAGTAGGTGCAATTACAGGCAGTATACTGGCAATAGAGGTCATGAATGGTGCACGCTCTGTCATCATCTGCCTTTTACTTGCACATTTATCTATTTTTTTTATTTAAGGCAGAAAATAGACCTATGTTCAAAACCACAAGTTTTTTTGAAGTTCTGCCAGATCAACTAAATAAATAGGCTGTGTTCTGATCTGTGAGTTCTGTAGGCATCACATGTAGGTACAAGTTTCATTTTGATACATTATTGATGTTGGCTGAATTATTCAACATTGCATGTTGCATTACACTTGCAGTATTTACAGTATTGTCTGTTAAATCATTTTCTGAAATGACTAAATAAGCAAAGAAAAACTAATAATAAGAAATACTTTGAAATCTTAATATCCTTGATTTTGATCCACTTCCTTGCTCCCCCAGAGCTGTAGTTCTTAGATTTTGTCAGCTGGACTTACAGTACAATATTACTGGGGTTGACCCCTTCTGCCCCAAGAAAACTGCTCCTGTTCTGCCATCTTAACACTTTGAATGTTCAAACACGAAGCCAACTCTACCGGTTGTTGTTAGGGATACTTCTGAAGCAATTGAAGTCAGCACTCAATGAGAGCTGGAGCTTTGATGGCAAACACTGACAGTTTATTTGGAGCTTCGGCCGGAGAATTCACAAGACATGTCACAGGCCAAGAGTTGACCACATGGTAGAGATGCCACAATCAATTCTGAAGACCCCTCCTGTAGCTCCAGGTTTTAACTAGTTCAGAGTGTAATAATCAACATTCTTCAATAAATAGACTAAATAGCTGAGGACACTGAATCACATTTGTTGTCGCTTATGGCTCGGGGTCATCTACACCCCGAGAAGGATGTGTGGTGTCCCACAACAATAACAACAATGACCGACAATTGCCCAATTACAAAATGCTTGGGCTGTGAGCA